TTCCTATGAGAACACTGTCCTAGACCGTTGTGTCGTTTATTATTGCGATCGATTATGACTGCATGAAAAGCTATTGCCTCTGACATGCTCACTTCAAACTGATTTAGATGGATTCTCATTCTTTTCAGACGTATTGTGCTCACTCATATAGCTATTACTTGCGAATATCGTTCTCTTGATGTGTTTTTCTCGTTCACTTCGTCTCATTTCACTTCACTGTCAGAATCAGCTTCGTATTCTGTAGCATGTACTATTTACTGGAAACGTTGACGAGTGTTGACAGCCGAAATCAACAATACAGCAATCGAATGTTATTGCTCAACAACGTTCGAGAGTCAAGTGATCAATTATAGAGTGTATTTGATAGAATGAGAATTTGACTTTAATTATTGAGTGAAATGAATGAGAAATTAATAAAAGAGAGAACACTTTTGGTGATAAGAGCTATGAGAGCGATGGTAACAGCAAGGAAAAGAGTGAAAATCCTGTTGAAATGAATGAAAACCGTGTTAGGCCCGGACGAGCTAACAATATTCATCAGAAAATAGGAGAATGAAGAGTGCTGCTATCAGCTAACCGCATTTACACACCAGAGTTAAAAAACACCATCACAATGACATTCTATCATAACATAACAACTGCACGAAATACTAATTCCCCGACCCCCTCCATTACCCCTTGACACCTCCAAACTTCCCAAAATGAGTAATTTATCCCCTGTGCGAACCACTACTTTAAACTGTAGTGCCAAGCCACAATTCATCACTGACTGAGACTCACACGTGTCTGCTCAATACATTTGTTAAGCATCCTATTCTGTTCAGATCTCATAGATGGGAACTCGAAAATCATGAAGCCGTCAACTCTATTTGGATATTCCTCATCAGTTTCAGTTTCTTTACGATACTAACTAGCACGATTGAAATTCACTAGCACTAAAATGACCTGAAAAGACAACATGTTCATGTCTTGTCAACACACAACTGACGTTTCAAAAATTTATTCGAATAAACATTTAATAAAACTATATTGGCGACTATCACATCACAACGAACAACGAAATAATGAAGCAAAATGAATAATAATAGAACCGTTTATGATGACAGCAAAAAAGTTCAGATAAAGTGACGGGTCAAGCTGAATTATTTGTTGACTTTGTTGAAATATTCTTTTGATCCTTTCACATCTGGCTTGATCGTTGGCTCTTCTTCGTGCCAATTCGCTGGGCATACTGCAAACAATTGCATCAAACATGTAATCGTGATCAGAATTCCATACAGAAATTGAACTTGGCAACTGAGAAAAGCGTACAGAAATTGAGAATTTCATGCAAGTGTCTAGACGACGTGTCAAAATGATACGTAAACGAAGGTTACTAATAAACAAAAGAGAAACCTTCGCCATGTTTCTCAACAAACTGGAATGCCTTCAGAACTCGTAATGCTTCGTCAACACTTCTACCAACTGGCAGATCGTTCACAGTTGCATGGCGAATCATACCTTTGGGATCGATCAAGAATAAACCACTGAAAATTACATATCACATCACCCACTTGACAACCAAAAATATCACAACTTCTTCCATTTACATTAACTCAAAATCTATTTCATCATTCAAACCAATTGATGAAACACTGAATTATTCTGCTTTATTGCATGTAGTAGTACCATCGGCACTAGATTCAGACATCCGAACAATTCAACACAGGAACGCGAAATTTGGTAAAAACCTCAACAAAAAAGAGAATACGAACCGGTATGCGACACCCGATTCAAAATCAAGAACACCGAAAGAGTCGGCGATTTTCTTGTTGAAGTCCGACAGTAACGGAATCTGCAAAGTGAAACGCAATTAGTACCATGAACAAAAAATATCGTTCACCGATGATAGTCTCATATAAATCCATCGAATCGCTTCAAAGCTCATTCTGTTCAGTCTTAAAATAATCCAAAAAACCAAACAAAATTCAGCAGTCACCTGCATCTCACCAAGACCACCATCTTTACGAGGTGTCATCACCCAAGCCAAATGTGAGAAATGTGAATCACATGAACAAGCCACCAGCTCAGCACCCAACTTCTTGAATTCTGGTGCACGATCGTTGAACGCAATTATTTCGGTTGGACATACGAATGTGCTGAAAATGAGACTAACTGAATGATCAGAATGAAAAACGATCGATTTCCGACAACTCGAAGCAGTTGAGCCCCGTCAAGAATGTGACCGATTTATTCATCATTCATCGATGAATAAATCAATCAATTGGTCACTCAAATCAGGGATGAAGCATAATGAATAATGCATCGTACTTAGGATCGAACCAAGGATCGTCTTGCCAAATTGCAAAACAACGCCATTGTGCCATCATATTTTCCATGGTAGACCTCCTAGAAGGGGATGGATATAAACTAATACCCTTCACTCAAAAACTGGACAATGCAATGTCAAAACAACTTACAAGTCGAGCGGATAGAAGAATACGATCAACCATTTGCCCTGATAGTCCTTTGCACTGATCGTCTTGAAGTCTCCATCCACGACGGCTGTTCCCTGATGTACACATCAAATTCCTTACACAATTTCAAATAAAACCAGCATTCAATGAAGCGAATTCATGTCCAACGATTACTGCAAACGGGGATATGAAGACGATCAAAAATACCTTAAATTCTGGAACATTGCACATTGGACCCAAAGGTCGGACACCCAGCAGAAGCCGAGACGTCGAGAAGGCCGCTTTTGACTGCTGACGAGCCAAAGCCGAAGCTGCGCTCAGTGATCTGATCTAAAAACACATCCCATGGCTTAAA